TTATTTTCACGACATTTACCTGTCGGCTATGCGTGGTAATTTGTAGTTTTATTAAAATCACTCAATGCACACATATTTATGATTTATCGTGTCAGGCAATATGGTTTGTTTCACATGTAATAAAATAACCTACATTCAGAAAACAAAGACTAATCGATTGAAATTCTTTGATATTGTTTATTATGCAACTAAAATGTACATGTTAATCACAAAAATAAAAAAATACAGTTTGTCACGTTGTCAGTATAGTAAATTATGTTATAATATTGTGATATGATAATAAAATAATTATTTTTATTTTTAAATGTAGGTAAAAATAATTCAAATATTTTTGTAATTGTTTAACACGAAATAAATATTTTTAACTTAACAATTAAAAATTAAAAATAACGAAAAATATTCTAAAAACTGAATGTTCTACTAATAGACAATATAAAATAAACATACTAATATAAAATTAAACTACACGTGTAAAAGTCCCTATTAAGTGGCATATATAGGTGTATTGTTTCTAACTACAGAATAGTAAAAACAATTAAACATAAACAAATTTCAAAAATTTCAAAACATTGTACTCAGAAAAATAAACAATAATTCACCATTCCACCCTTAGTTTCAAGTGCCATAATTCCCGGCAAGCTGCAGTGAATCTTTTAAAAAATTACAAAAGAAACCGTTCAATTATACAAACACTGTCACATAATCAATTACTGAAGAAAATCTTCAATACATACATATTTATATATAATATATATTATATATATTATAATTAAGATTTCCACCCGAACCTTACTGGGTTAAATCTTATTCCCGTTTTAATTGGTCAAATTGTATATAACATGTAGATTTTAGTTAGTGTTATTAAATTCAATTAAATTTAAAATATAAATAGAGATTCGTTTGTTTACATAAATTTAGACCATTACTTAAACTTTTCGTGCTAATTTTTATAGACTTGTAATTTGTAAATGTTGAAATATTTATCAATTTCTACACGTAAAGGTTGTAGTTCTAGTAACATATATACATTTGATATTTCATACGTGTGATCAACCCAATACACCAATACAAATACAATTAAATAAAAATAAAACTAATTTTAAGTTACTAATGCTATGTTCTAATTTGCTGCACTATAGACTTACTATTTCCCAAATTTACAAGAAAAATTAGAGGTTAAATTTCATTAAATCTTACATTGAGTTCTTATCTTACTTATAAGTAGATAAAAAATGATTATAATAAATTGTTTTAAAAATTTTAGGCGAATTTCTTAACTATTTCCAGATTGTATAATTATATAGAAACTATCGCATAAATATATGAATGTTTCTATTGAATGCAATCTATGAATGCGTACAAATTTCGAGTACTATTATTATATTTAGTGATATAAAATTAGAACTTGATCATTATTTGCATTGATGGTCATATTATTTTGAGTGGTTAATTATACAATAATGATTTACAATATGGGTTTTATTGAAATCAAGATTTTTTTCTACTTTTCCAAATCCAATAATCTATTTTTTATTTCCAAATTCTTTTTTCAATGAGTTTTATGCAAAGAACTTCAATGACAAAAAATCAACATCAATGTACTTTTTTGATTTTAACCGTAATAAATTTGAGTTTAATCTTGTATTAATGTTAAGAAAAATTAATGTATAAAATCTACTTCTTTTTTATGTTCCAATTATTTTTATTTTTGAAATATACTAAATTTCGATTTTATTACTTAAAATTTGTTAAGTTAACTCAAATAAAGTTATTTCATGTTTGTCTGTTTTAGTAATTATTTTAAATGTATTTAAATCAGATATTATCAAAGGGCTTTCACTTATTAAATTTATTAATACTTAAATGGATAATAGTGTAATACTACAGACTTCATCTTACATTATAAAGTTAGAAACGCGACCTACATAAAAGATACAAATGAAATATATCCAAAACATTTTTTATTTGAAAATAGTTCGATGTTATAAAGCTTTACTAGTTAATATAAAGTCTACATAATAAGTCTACAGTAGTCTAACACTATCTAACAAAATAAGTTCGATATATTTTACTTGTATAAAATTTTGAAAACATAGAGTCGTAATTTTTAGGTATAGTTAGCAGCATAACAGTAAAAAAAATTCTCCAGAAAAATATTAAGTCCAACAAAGTTTAGAAACAATCCAACACTTTTCAACAAGTTACCAACAAATTTATTGGATATATTTCATAAGTAATTGCTATTATAGTTGTGTCTTGCTGCTAACTCTATGACGTTACTAACACAAACTCTTCACACCAATCACATGCTATATACTATCATACCTAAATTAATGCATGCTACAAATTACAATAAAAAATACTTATTAAGTTCTACAGTCACTCGTCATCCAGATACATACAATATTTATGGATTTTAAATATAAGTACCATTAGAAAACATTTTATTTTATTTTAAATTAATAATAATTATACAAATACCAATGTTATTATATATATTTATTTTGATTAAATTACAACTCGATTTGTTTAAGTTGTTTATATAACTAACAATAATCAATATTTATTGCCAAGCTGTATCCATAAAAATTGGGTATGAAGTTTAGTGTGCATTTTGCACAAGCCCCGGGCCGTTAACTATATTATTGATTAAGAATTATTATTTTTAAAAGACGTTATACATTTTGAAGTTGTTGGATACCTCGTACTTATAGTTTTTAATTTATCATAGACTTTCTTAAGAAAATCGAAAGCGAAAATTTTCTGTCTCACGCAAGATAAGATCGAATTAAGACATGTTCTATTTCTAACATACCATTTTCATAGACTTTAAAATAAATTTTAATTTACCAAAAAACATTTTAAAAATAAATTTCACAATATTTTTGATTTTTTGATTATAACTTCTTCAAAAATAAAAACATTGTCATGTTTTAATTTCTATTTTTTAAATATTATATCTTTACAAGATTTAGGGAATCAATTAAAAATTTAGAAAAGACAATTTCAAATAGACGTTACTAAAAATTCTAATTTATTCTTAGAATTTTGATTGTTTTACTAAACAATATTGGTACATTATAAATAGAAAACATCTAAATTTCTATATTAAGCGTTTGTTATATAAAGATAGAAAACCATCACTTCCAATCATTAATTATTATTACTTTTTGAAACTATATATTTTAAAAAATACCTATGCTTTTACTCAAAAACCTATGTTGATTAACCCGAAATTTTATAATAAACTAATGATTTGCAAGCAAGTTCTTTATCCTTTGATAATGTTAATAGACAATAATAATAGATAGGCAGTTAACTACAGTAATTGAAGATAATTTTAAATGATTTATAATATTTTATAACATATTTTAGTATTATTCTAACTTTAAGATAAATATAAAGGTATACAATCTATAGACTAATACTATATAGATTTTCTTATCAACACAATGAAAAATTAGCATGGTCTTATGATTTAATTATCAAATGTAAACACAAAACAAGTTCTGATTTTATTCGCTAATTTTTTTTCTTTAAGACGTAACCTCAAAGCTTAAGTTTTTATAGCAATATTGTATGCATATGTAACACAACTTCACAAGATTAACTATCAAACAATTTTATCAAAAAATTCATTAACTTCATTAAGAATCTGTATTTATAGTGACTTAGTAAGTGATTATAGAATAGACAGCTTCGATAACTTACAAGTAAAAACTAACCCAAATTTAATAAAAATACATTCTAAATAACATTGAATTTATAACAGCTAATTTTTAGCTTATTACTTTCTCTTCATTTTTTATCCGTATTTAACACTATTACATTTAATTAAAAATGCATTATAGTTTACCTATATATATATAAGTGTATATTTTAAACATATAATTTTATGAATTCCAACATACCTATTGAATATGAATGTATATACCTAAGTTTTAAAATTGAATAATTAAAAAGAACCTCAAATTTAAATTTTACTTGTAGGTCTCGATTAACTGTTTTATAGCTATTACGAGGCTGAGGCTTCATAGAATATAATGAAGTATACCTCAGGTAAACTGTGATTTGAACAACTACAATATGATAATATATATACTGTATATCGTACATAACAGTAGAAACGTATTTTTTAAGTGAGTATTTTTACTATAGTAAACGTAACACCAATCAGGTATCCAACAACGTCGACTAAATTAAACGTAATATACTTAAAGAATCAAAAATATAAAAAAGTATTTATAATTAAACTTTGATTTACTCTTCTCCCCTAAAAATATAAAAGACAATAAGTAAACCTCCTAAAAATTTTAATAAGTACCTAAAATAAGTAAAATAAGTAAAATAAATAAGTACGTATGTAAAATTATTAAATTTTCAAATTGTTTTAGGATGTCTATACCATAATTGTATTTTAAGCCAATAGTCTTCACATTCAACCTTATTTGATTCATGGTCATTTTTTTGAGACATATATTCATAATAGAACAGGTAGATTGATGAAAAATACTGTTTTAATATTTTTAACTAATTTAGTATTACTATTTTATTCATATTTTATATTTTACTTTATATAATTGAATGAAATATATTTTATTTTATATTTATTAAATACAAATTACGACCCAATTATAAATCTCATAGGACAAGACATTTGATTGTGACCTATCTTCCGAAAACTGCACCTATCTAATCATGGTATATTGTCAAATATTATCAAGCTAAAATCTGAATAGGGTTTAAAAGTCGATTCACTGATTTCTGTTGACAATGCTGTACGCATTTTTTAGACGTCTCTCCAAAATTTATCAGTGGATCAATTGTTGTAGGTTGAATGATATTGGTTTGGAAAAATATAGGTGATATAATCATTAACTTACAACCATTTTTTAACTCCACAATTTTTTTTTTACAGACAGTTGAAATAAAATAGTAATTTTAACTCGATCCGCAAGTAGGTGATATTATAGTCAATATAGGTATTATAAAGTACTTACCAATAGGTATTCCTTGTCGTATGCGTACTATAGACGGCGACTTTTGTTTGAGATTTCCGTCGATCGTGTATAGCTGACGTCTTCGTCACGCGCGCGTCACATACTCCGGTGCAGTCCGAGTGCAGGCCAAGGGTTGATTACACCATTGACGCATTCGGCTAAAAGCTTTGGTGGCGGCAGCGTCCCTGGGCGGGTCCTTTCCCCGAGCCCGAACTTGAGCCAATGGCTGAGACCGAAGCGATTTGCCACGCGCGGTCCTGCCTGGCCGACCCTTTGGCGGGTGGTCCTTAAATACAGCGTCGACACCGCCACCCCGACACGTTATATCTATGTATAGTCTGTGCGTACTTACCCTGCAAGCCGCAGGGCAAAGTAAATCGCACCAACCCCTCGCCCCCATTACCGCTACCCTTCCAGCTATATGCGGTGATTTCGGAATACATTTCATAAAACCACACCGCGCTTATCTATGTATATATAATATATTATTATACATTTACACATTATTATACAGGGTGTATTTAGAAGATTTTTTATGATTTCCATCCAAACCAGATGAGACTTTTTACTCAACTCAAGGCATTTACTTAAATTTATTTTGTAAGCTTTTACAAAAATTAAAAAGTGGACCACTACTCAATTTCAATTCCATATTTGAAAATTTTTATCGCTGTATATTTGGCTATTCTTTAATTAATAGTTTTATAACAAGAAAAAATCTTTTCCAAATTCAGTGATTCATACAAATGAAAACAAAATTGTTGGTATCACGAAACATCTGAGATGAGTCCACACTCAGACTACTAGTATACTAATACTAGGAATCACTAGTTTAAGTAGTCAAATACCCAGAAAATTTTGTTTATTATGTAATAATTAAATTAATACACTAAGCAATTCGTAAATAATTACAAGAAAACGATTATTGTTATTTTGTTACTATTTAAAAAATATTAATTGTAAATATTTAAAACATTCTACCATTACTTAAATTATTTTTATCTATACTTACGCAATAAAATTTTCAAAATATTCAGATTTATTTTGAGCTATGTTCATAATATTCACACCGTTCTATTACTGTATAGGTATATAGAATCGACTTATAAATCAATAATAGCTTATTACTTATTACTCATCAAAAACAATTATCTTTATAGTTACTATACTTTAAGTTTAATAACGGAAAAATTGTTTGTTAAAATTTCGTATTATAAATACTTAAGTTTAAAAAAAATATTATCCCTTTAACAATTCACAATACAAAAGGAAGGGTAGTTTTACAAAAAAAAATTTAGTAAATTTGTATTAATATAATCAGGAAATTACAGACAAAAGAAAAACACACCATCGTAAAATCAATACATTCATCGTTCCGCTTAAAATCTAAAACAACATAGGTATAAATATTTCATACCTAACGATAAACGGCAAACAATAATACGTAGTTTTAATATTTTAATGTTTAAACGAAAAAAAATAGTACCTATCTGACGTTTAAATTATTGACATTGTTAAATACAAAATATTTAAACACTACGGCGAATTAATATTTTTAATCCAAGCCCTGGTGACAAAATATTTATTTAATAAACCATACATATTCATAAAAAAAGAAAATATTGACAGTGAACATTTATAATATATATTTTTTTGAATTATACTAAACCTGAAAAATTAAAAACTTACATTTATGATGAAGCGTTGTAAAAAATAGAAACATGGTACTTTAAATTATTTTAACATTATATTATTTGGGTATACATTGTAATTTATAAATCAATATTTGATTATTAAATCGTTATTATGTCATGTTAATCAAAAAACTTTTACATTGTTACGATATTTACCTACTTTATGCATTATACGGTGTACTCCGGTACTCGTTCAATAAAATATTACTCTATCTACCATACATTTGATGGTTCAATATGTTATAAAGATAATCACATAAAGAGTTTATACTCATAGACACGCCTTGTGAATTTAAATTGGATCCACGAAGGGCGTTGGTGGTAATAGGTACACTAAGGAAATATATATGTAAATGGGTCGATCACTCAATCACTTAAACACGCCACATATTTCAGCTCATTAAGTATGATATTAGACATTAGTAATACATGTAGGGTAGTTGGGGTGGTTTATGAGTACACAAGTAAACAAGTTGTATGTACAAATTTAAATGTCCATGTATCTAAAAATATGAAAACCAAACTGTTAATTAGTTTATCTTTAGGATTAAGTACGTCGTGCTGACCTAATTGTTATCTTGGCAATACTTACATAATAATATTATATCGTAGAGACTATTTTTAAACCGTAATTTACAAACGATATTTGATTACAATAACAAATAACAATTGTTTAGCCACGAGGCTCCTACGAATCTGTGGTCGGCCTCGATGACTACACCACCGAAAGATGATCTAGGAATAACCGTGGATAATTGCTTAAAGAGAGGTGACCATACAAATAGTTTACGTATTACAATCAAATTCATCAGATGGCTTAAATATAAATTAATAACAAACCGAGTTGTCTCTGGATAACTGATTTTAAGAATGACAGTATTGCACAAAAGAATTTTTAAATTACTAGAATAGTCAAACAATATCGATGGTTAGTGATTCGTAGACATTAAAAGCGTGCTTCGCCAAACATGTTGTTTTCGTCCTGTCGTTAAAAGAGGATTATTGAGCGTTCATTGTGCGAATTACCAGATAAAGATTTTCATTTTCACGCAAAACATATGCAATCTGAATGGTACATAGGATTCGCTTTCAATCAACACATTTTTGAAAATGCAGTCCAACAAAGAAAAGTGTTATGATCAATTACAATACGTAACACTCTAAAATTGAACAAAATAGAAAAAGCTATCCCTATTTTGTCATCAAATATTTCAGTGACACATGATCTAGCAATTCAGAGGCAATGAGCTGCGTAGGAATCTTCATGATCTTTTAAAGTTTCGTGTGAATCTGGAGATATGTTCTGTCTGAGCATTTATCAACATGTCATAGCAAAAGCCAAATATACCCTCACACCGCATTCCAAAAATGAATTAATTTTATTTGGCGGAAATGCTATTATGTGATCAATTGTTCGAGAAGTACAGTAGCCTAAGTTTTCTACTCCGTGAATGTATCACGATAACTATTATTGCGCTATTGAACAATTATGGTGTTCGTTATGTTGATAGTTCAAAACTATAGTAAGAGAGGAATTATAGGATTTAGTGCACTAACAAACATTAGATGCACGTTGATATAGCTACTTATATTGACTTCTGCTGAAAATACGGTTGATATGAATAAACTTGCTGGCTTGGGCTTGAGGCGGGTGTTCAGTAATGGCTGGAAAGAAAATTGGCTGTGAAATAATAATTTGTGACTAATATTCTAAAGCAACATTTTCCACCTGCTTTGTATGACCACATCCTGTTGTAAATGATTATCGAATGCAGTGACAGAAATACAAAATACTGTAGAGTAATAGAGGTTGAATTTTTCGAAAGTACTGTCGAAAATTGCTACAAATATACCACTTTGTGTGTGATACTCGTTGGTCTGGAATATAACCATTCAGTGCATTTTTGCTTCAAACTTTATTATATAAGTCACGAAAACTATCTCATAATAATGACTCGATTTTAAAGTTACACCACTACTGCACAAAAAGCACACCAACTATCATGTGCGACATCAACATCACAATTTATCATATCTTTTATTATCCAACCACTCAGCTCAATTGAACCAGTTACAAAATTGAGGGAAAATCTATTGATTTATACTCTGTCCAAAATCATATTCAGATTTATTAACTATATTTAATAATAGAGAACAATCAGATATCGATTTTAATGATATTTTTAATAATTCATATTTATGGCAGAAAATTGGCGCAGAAATTAAAATCTTCGTATTACATCTCAAACAAAAATAGATCAAATTACGAAACTGATTCTGCTGAACACTATTTACAGACTTTCTATTTTATTCCGTACTTAGATTCACTAATATCATCTCTTTCGACGATTTTCAAGTACTAAAATAGCATTCTCAATAAGTCTACTGCATCCTACAAATATTAAAAGTACACCATAATGATTTCAAAGAAAATTGGATTAGTGATCATTATGAAATTGAAATAATAGAGGAACAATATTTGGTATCAGTATTGGATTGATAAAATTTATGACTCGTGTGATGAAATTTCGTTTTGATTTATTGGCTCTGCGAATATTATCCTGCTATTTTCAAATATAATATTTTTATATCACTGCCTCCGACAACGTGCACGATAGAAAGATCGTTCAGTACATTAAGACGAGTAAAAACTGGCTTCGCTCTGACTACAGGAGAAGATCGTTTAAATGGGTTGTATGATGAGCCTTCATCGTGAAAGAGTTAACAAACAAGGATAATTTCATCTGTGATGTCATTAATATGTTTGGAATAAACGAAGAAATTACAGTTTTTATTTACTGATACCGAATAATATACTGAATTATATTTTTAATTTATATTTTTATAATTCTATATAAGTACATAAGTACATTTATATGTAAAATAACATTAAATCTTTATTATCTTACATTCGAAAATTTTTATTTTGACCCCTAAATGTTACCTATGGGCGCCCATGGTAATAGGTGCACTAAGGAAATATATATGTAAATGGGTCGATCACTCAATCACTTAAACACGCCACATATTTCAGCCTCATTAATGATATTAGACATTAGTAATACATGTAGGGTAGTTGGGGTGGTTTATGAGTCACAAGTAAACAAGTTGTATGTACAAATTTAAATGTCCATGTATCTAAAAATATGAAACCAAACTGTAATTAGTTTTCTTTAGGATTAAGTACGTCTGCTGACCTAATTGTTATCTTGGCAATACTTACATAATAATATTATATCGTAGAGACTATTTTTAACCGTAATTTACAAACGATATTTTACAAATAACAAAT